GTTTCACGAGAAGCCTGTCACTTTTATACCATTGTGCCGGAATACAATAGCCTACATTCTCAACTTTAGTTAACTTGGGACGTTATTTAAGGAATATCTACTATCATTGATAATAATCGGCTTCCCATAAAATAAAATCAGTAATGATAAATATATCTCCGTTTCACAATTTTTTGTTATATATATATATATATATATATATATATATATATATATATATATATATGTTTCAACTATGCAATGTTCCACTTGGAAATCTGAAATCATTTTACACACAAATACGAGTTAATATAACACAACAAACTATTTATAATTTATTTGCAGTGATCGATTAACAAACAGCCAGTTGTTAATGAGTTACAAGTTGGTGAGATAATTTGGTGACATTATGACACAAATATCAGTTAACTAGATGAACGGATTAAGCAAAACAATCAATATTTGAGTGAGAGTATACTGAACAACTCTAAAAAACAACACTTTCAGGTTGTATTAAGGTAAAACGTGATTTTTGAATACATTCAAAATTACTGTTAGATAAAAATGCAAAAGAATTCACACGTAATTAACGTTATTACTAAGTATAAAGTTACAGGTTACGACATCCATGACTTTGATGACAAATATATTGGCAATTTAAACATCGAAATATGAAGTCAATAAAGTAGTAGTGTGGTGAGCGCTACTTATAAGTAGTACATGACGCATGTGTAAACGTAATGTCTGGCAGCAGAAGATGGGGGAAGATCAAGAAAGAAAGGGTGGGAACACAATGGAATTTGTATGAAACGCATGAATAGTGAAAGTCAGACAATGGATTGAAGATTTGCAAATTAACGGTTACGATATGGTTTTCCTATTTTACTGAGTAACTATGTAATTTTCGTTAAATACAATCAGGTTGCCCTCGCCTGTGTTCTCCTTCACTACAGCAGATGTAAGAAGAGATTTACTGTCGACTTGGAAAAAGTGCGGTGGGAGTAGGTTTGTTCCTACGGATAACTATCATATCCAGAGACATTTCCTCCTTAAGACAGAAACTTACGCCTGTTACCCCCAAAGGAGCATAGGCCGCCCACCAGTTTTCGCCAACCAACTCTGTCCTGGGCTTCCCTCTCCAGTCCTGTCCAATGTTCGTTCATTCTTCTCTTGTCTTTCTCTATTTCTCGGCGTAATGTGTTCCTTGGCCTTCCTCTTGCCTTGAGGGTTCCATGTCAGGGCTTGTCTCGTGACGCAGTTAGGTGCTTTTCGTGGTGTGTGTCCTATCCACTTCCACCGCTTCTTCCTGATTTCCTCCTCCACTGGAATCTGGTTTGTTTTCTCCCACAGTGAGTTGTTGCTGATCGTGTCTGGCCAACGAATCCGAAGTATTTTGCGTAAACAGCTGTTAATAAACACCCGTGTCTTCTGGATGATGCCTTTCGTGGTTCTCCAAGTTTCCGCTCCATTAAATAGCATTGTCTTGACATTTGTATTGAAAATTCTGATTTTGGTTTTGGTTGAAAGTTGTTTGGAGTTTCAGATGTTTTTCAATTGTAGAAATTCAGCGCTTGCTTTACCGATTCGCGCCCTCACATCTGCATCGGATCCACCTTGGTTGTCGATTATGCTGCCTAGATATGTAAAGTTGTTAACGTCCTCCAAGCAACTTCATCAAGAGTGATTTGGTTGGCGCATGTTGTGTTGTATCGTAGAATTTTGCTTTTTCCTTTATGTATGTTGAGACCTACTGCTGCAGAGGCTGCTGCTACACTGGTCGTCTTCTCTTGCATTTGTTGTTGCGTGTGCGATAGAAGAGCCAGATCATCTGCAAAGTCCAGATCGTCCAGCTGCGTCCTTACTGTCCAGTTGATACCGTGCTTCCCTCCAGATGTTGACGTTTTCATAACCCAGTCGATCACCAGGAGAAAGAGAAAGGGTGAGAGTAAGCAACCTTGCCTGACACCGGTCTTCACCTCGAAGGAGTCTGTTAGCTGTCCTTCGTGTACAATTTTCCTTTTCCCGGGCTTGGGACCGGCAATAGCCCTGAAGGTTCTACCGGCGGAGCTTAAGACAGAAAATATAAGCTTTTATGTAGCGTTGATTCTGTTTCGCCCGTGGATTTCCGGTGTGGATAGTATAGTTTACAAAACCAACTATTAAGAGATTTGTCTCAAGTATTTGTCCCTCACTGCAGTCAAACTTATCAGTTGATAAAACAATTAATACGATTATAATTTGTTTCCAAAATGTAGACAATCAAAAGTATGAATTACCCACAGATACATCGATACTTGTCCCAGCCGGTAGTTTATTACTCGTTTACCAAGTTTTCCGGAGACTGATTAACGACGGTTTAATTGTAAATGTGAGACCTAATACATATATGACTTCAAGAACGCACACCTTATACATCTCTATTAAACCAATGGTTATGTGTTGAAAATTTTTGGTTACAAGTTACGTACAGCGTGCAGAACAAAGAATTGTGTTTGGTGAATATTTGTTTAATAATAGTATTCGTTCGGAACAATATAAAACAATTTAACATTGCTATTACCATGACGTAAGAAATTGAAGATCTTGCATCAAAACAGGAATAAAGCATATTCACCTTGGAAAGACTACATGCTTCTCTTCCGTATCCCGAGTTGTTTGACTTATATATAATGTATATAGTATATAATATATAGAATACATTTTGCTCAAATCTCGCATAAAAAGTATCAAATCACCTTCACTTGCATGTGACTTAAATCAAACATGACATCTAAAATCACCAATTATGATTACCCGTCACATTTTAAATGAGTTGAAAGGTTCTACCATGCCAGGCAGGTCGATTGGAGAACGATGAGACTAAAAGCAGCTATTCAAGGTCTGAGGGTGAAGTCGTACTGCTGACTGCAGAGGGGTGTGACAGCAGTAAGGTGTTTCCCTCGGACAACCAGCATCTGCGGCGATGCTGCCTTCTCACAAGTAAAAAAGGGTTAGATAAGGTCGACCCCAAAAATGTCACACCTCACGGATTTCTGTCTCCGTTGGTAAGGGTGCCTACTAAGGGCCTTTAACAGCGGAGCTAATACTCAAAATTCCCTTCATAAAAAGGTCGTGCGTGACCGGCCTCGTACAGTTGTCCCTTGGGCTCTGCGGTCACGCTCCCAGGTCTCCAAGACCAACACTAATCTATCTTCCTTTTCAGGTCCCTCAAGAATCAACTTTCCACGGTGTGGGCAGCCGGGAAGTGACAACCGTCCTCATACTCATAACAGCACACAAGAGCAAATTGGTCAAAATCAAATCCTTCTTACACTCCGTAACATCTCTCTTATCTCCACGACTAACTCTAGTCGCATTCCCTCAGCTCACTGCACCGCTAATGCAGACGAAGCAAGTTCACGAAACGTCGTTCCTGGTCTCCTTAAACCCCGCTCTAGACTACATGTTGGAGCATTTAATGTACGGACATTGTGTCAAATAGGGCAACAGGCATCATTAACTAGGACTTTAGAATCTCGCGCCATCGATGTATGCTGCGTCTCGGAAACGCGCATACAGGGTCCTAGTAAAATCATTGATCTGATTTCACCTTGTCGAAATAAAGAAGCAGCCCGATTTACTCTTCGTGTATCTGGAAGCCCTGATGCTGCTTCCCGGGGTCTCGCTGGTGTAGGTATAGTATTGAGTCGTAGGGCAGAACTAGCTCTCCTAGACGTGGTCCCTGTAGATAGTCGCTTGTGCGCTGTCCGACTAAACGGGACAGTAAGGACTCGGAAAGATAGGGACAATCGCCGTTGCGTCTTCATCGTATCTGCCTATGCCCCCACTGACTGCAGTTCAGACGAGGTTAAAGATGAGTTTTACAGAAAGCTTTCGGACCTCCTCCAAAAATCCAGGCGCTCTGATATAGTAATAATGGCTAGTGACTTTAATGCTCAAGTAGGTAGACTAAGTTTAAATGAAAGACACCTAGGTGGATGTTATGGTGTCGCGGCTCAGAGAACAAACAATGGTGACCGTCTGTTGCAAGTATGCTCTGATAACCAACTATTTCTAGCAAACACTAACTTTAGGCATAAGGAAAAACATCTGTTGACCTGGCGACCCCCGAACTCGTCTCACCGTTGGAACCAACTAGATCACATCGCCATCAGCCACCGATGGAGAGGTGATTGGTATCACTTGATTAAAAGTTGTTTTGTAATTTTGAAAATTTGATGAAATATCGAAGCAGATAAAGTTGAGTCATCACAGATCTACGTATAAAATGCTTTCGTTAGATTAATAGCTTTCTCTTTCTCTAAACCCATGAGCACAATCTTTTGGCGAAATTTGATAATATTTAGAAACGAAATTCAGGATGTGTGTTCTCGTTCATGAGAGACTCGTCAGTTGGATTTATTGGCGACTTAGGGCTAATATCATCCACTGAACTACTGAGTTCATATAGCCACTAACTTGTATAAAATGTGTGGACTTTATTGTAAAAGTTTGTATTTTTCTGTTGTCGGTGTTTAGAACTGCGAATGATCAATCTGTTTTGGTATGTGCATTCCGAAATGATCAATTTGTCATTGTCATACAGTCACTGGAATTCTTAAGAACAATCATGAAGTAACCTGAACAAGCTTGGAAACAATCAACAAACTGATATTGTAAGTTCCTCTCATAGAAACCTTTAGACCTAGCAAATCTAGGTAGAAAAATCGTAAATGATATTCCTCTACCTTTTTGAAAATTAAAATTTATCTACATTAAGGTCTTAAAAACAATAGACATATATTGATACAATATATTTATAAAGTTTGTACTGTCACTTTAGGCTTATTGTTTTCACTAAGGTCAGTCTTGTTCGAGCTTGACTTTTTTCTAGAAGCTTTAAGCTTCGGTTTGACTTTAGTTCCATTTGACAAATCAGATGATTCTTGTTTATCACTCCCGATTTGGTTTTTGTGGTAATCCGTTAAATGTTGCGACTGTTAAAAATTGACAGCAAATACACAACAATACAAATTGTAGAGTATTAAAACTAACAATGAAACAAAGTTGACTGAAAAAGTAGAACATATATACGTATTTAAATCAAATATATAGATATTACTCAAATAACAGAGAAACCATAACGACGCACTTTAGTGTTCATACTTTAACTTTTATATTCCTAACACAAATAAAGTGGATGACGGTTTGGACTTCAGACATTCAAATGGCCGTGTTATGCATCATCCTGAAGCTTCCTGCAAATATCGCAGCGAATAAAATCATAAACCAATTTAAAAGTCCGTTAGCTTCGTGTATCGCAATAGATACAATTTTAAAAATACACCAGTTGACTCAAATTGTTTATTTATATCCTACCTTTGAAATGTGGTTCACCGATTGAGGACTCAACAGTTGTAGCACTGGGTTATCCAACTTACGGGAGCATCTATAATCTATCTGAATTTTAAATAGTAGAAAAAGTTGAATTTAATTAAATTCCGCCTTCAGTGGTATTGCGGTGGTAGAGTAAGATTGTCAATTGAATTTCTGTTGTTGACGCTACTAACCGATAATTTGACCGGAAAAAACACTGAACTCATTCGATCGAGACTTTGAATAAGATGAAGCTTCTGAATAAGTCAAAAGTTGCAACATCCTTTCCAGAGAAATATCCCAATAATGAGTACGACAATATATGTGCCCCTTCTCACAGTCAATAAATAATTAATACACACTCTAGCCTATTTTTAATTGCATTTGGCACATATATATCCAAAAAACAAATTATGACAATAGGTTAATAACCTTCAGGTTATTGATTAATTAAGTCGAATCTGGATACAATTTACAAAGGACACATATACCAAAAAAAGATTGGTTGATTACAGATCTTAAAATCATAACGGTAAAATACAAACCTTTACAAATACAATTTAGACTTGTTTACTGTTCTTACAATAATAAAAGTAATAATAATATTAAAGATAATAAACGGAAAAGGAAGCAATAGCTTGTGTTATTTTCCAAAATCACGAATACAGTCTGACAATGAAGATTTACATATAAGTACGCAAAATATCCCTAAACTTATCATTTCTCCTTAGCTATTTTTTGTAAGATATTAAAATTAAAACATAATTTACTACAAACATTTCCCTTTCTACTGTTTGAGACAATATTAGTATTGCATAATGTTTATAATTTTAACTCATTCACTAGGTACTCAGATATGGGGGTTAGTGATAATATTTGGAGAGTGTAATGAGAAGACGAAAATTATCAGTACTATGTGATATATTATTAAACCAACACATTTCGAACAATCTGATCACGCATGTACTTGTTAAGAACATTTATATATGAAAAAGAAAAAGTCAACTAGACAAATGTAGTCACATAAAATTCCAATAGTCTTTTTAAAAGGTGCGTTTATGAACAAAGCATTCACATTTAAAAAAAACACTGGTTTTTTCCTTGATATTATTATCTCCTAAACAATCGACCAACTCAAAAGAATCCTTCAGAGAATACTTACATCAGCGCCTTAGAATAGGATCCAATAATTTTTTCAACCATTGAGCCAGGTTTTGTCAGTGATCAATACATGGATAAAATCGGACACAAATGTTTGGTTTATGAATTTTAGGTGATCCATACAAATGACAGGTCTGAATTTATTCCTCCTTATAGTTAACTAATTTCTATAAATTCGACATCGTGAATAAAAATTGACTCAAATGACCCAATACGAATAGATGATAAACATCCATGGTTTTCGATTGCTAAATACATATTTGAGACAGGTCATAAGACTGATTTTCTAATTCGGCACTCGTTGTGGTGTATAAAAGTGTTAAATGATGAATACTAATGTTTATTGAAGCATTGGCCATACGAAAGTTTAAATCTTCTTTTATGTATTCAAAATTAGTTTGTCCTCACCTTAAAACTACCTTGATAATATTGTATTATTATTATTATCCAGGGTGGTGAGTTTCACATTTATTTTCTTTCTTAACCTTAAACTCCATTTGTTTAGTTGACTTTCTGCTTTTCATATATATATATATATATATATATATATATATATAAATGTTTTAGGTATAATCGAAGCTAACAATTTAGTCACTATATTAGTTAGACTGATTCATCAGTGATTGTCACAAGAGGACGTTTGTACTTTCATATAGATTGGGATAATCAGGTTTTAAAAGTGTTAACGTTTTGATATGATTATAAAAAAAAATATTATCTTCAATATATCATTCGAGATTAGTATCAATATGAATTGTCTAATGAGAGGTGATATAAAAAAGAAACAATACTACTGCCTACCGCTGTGTTCAAGTACTCATTTTAAGTAACTTAACTTAGAGAATAATCGTTTCTCTGCCTTGTTCAACAAATTTTCAATATTGATGATCCAACCAAATATTTAAGTGTATAATTTTGTAGTCTGTTTAGAAATACTTGTCTTCTTTAAAGAATTATTAATAATATCGAGTGGGATAAATCAAGGCATTTACAGACAGAGATCAAAATGGAGAATTTCAATGATTATAACTCTAGTGAGTTATTGCTCCCATTTCTACTGAGTGATACAATCAGTATGATTTGCTGCCTATTTGAATTCAACGAAGTTACGAAGTATTTTTTCATGATGAAAATGAATAAATTAAACATAAATAAACTGCTGAACAGTTATTATTTTTATTTGTTTTATACTGTTGTAATAAATAAAATAAAATCAACTCATTAATTACCAGTTGAGGATTTCTTCGAACAAAACAAAATACATCTTCCACAGTTATTGTTGAGCGTTTTGCATGCCGACTAAATGTTTCTAGATCTGTAGCAAGGATTTGGTGAAAACGAAAAATTAATTCAGTCAATAAACAAATTATATCCATGTTGACTTCACATTGCTCTTTATTAGCTATTTCTTGAGCAATTTTTGTACACCTATAATGCAATTCAGCTTTGTATTCCTAGGAAGCAACAAATGGTTTAACACATGAAACGGTATCAGATAGAAAAATCAAATAAAATATTATTACATGTTAGAAAATGCGGAACAAATGAAAAAATTTAGCTTACACTGAAATTACACAACTTATCAGTACTGGAGGTTACATATTACTAATGTTAATCAATAGGCGATCTCATCAAACTAGGATGATTAAAACACTGAACTTATTTTGTTAGGTTGATTTAAGTACGAGAACATAAGTAGTACCAAATCAATCAACGGGGTTTCAGGAGACAAGGAATGACGTTTCGTGAGCTCAAACCGTTTACTTCAGCGGCGCGAGGTGAAAAACGATCGAAGGAAGGGTTGCTCGTGGAGATACGAGAGTTATTAGGTGTAGGTGCAGAAAAGATCTGATTGTGACCCATTTGGTCTCATGTGCTTTTGTGGGTATGAGGGTGGATGTTACTCCCCGGCTGCTCACACCGTGGAAGGGTTCTGGTTGTCAGAAGAGGTATCGGCCTCATGACTTCCGAAGGAATTCGGCTTTCATCATGAGACTTCATAACTCTTCTAAATGAAGACTTTCTAACTACTCCCAGCGCAGAGTTTAAGTAGTTTGAATTAATTTTTCTTGTTAGTGTTTTTTAGCGAGCTAGTTTTTTTTGAGGGATGGGGTCGCCAACCCTCCTCCTTTATCCGGCAACAGCTCCGAAGGGTATACAGGCGGAGTTAGTAGTACCGAGTCGGATTACAGTAAGATATAGCACTCTTTTATGAGCCCAGGTTGCTATCAAATGAGTAAAAATCAGAGGAACAGTAGTAAGTGTGGTGTACGCTACTTATGTTCACATAAGTAGTATATGATATCAAACGGAAATCAAACGTCTGACAGCAAGATCGAGAAGGAAAGAATGAGAACAGAAGGCGATTTGCAGATAACCTAAAGTGAACTGAAGTCTGAACAGTCTGAATGAAAGAACACTGAAATCTAAAACAAATAAGGATTAGTTTGCAAATGATGATTTCACGACTCTGTAACATTCGCTTAAATATTGATGCTGATGTCCTCACCTGAGTTTTCGTGCACAACAATAGTACCTCAAAAGGTAGAAACAAGCGATTAAGGGATGAATAATCTAAATTGGTTCTACTATCACGAACTATTTCTCACTCAACCAATGGGGATGGTTAGAAAATCTTCATTTGTAACTGATTATCGTGAAAAGTATACCTTGCATTACAACTAAATCCACGTTCCCAATTACACCTCAGGCCATAACAAATTCCGTTGCAATTTTTACCGTTGGATTTTCGGACCCGAAGTCGCCTTGTATTCTTATCATACAAACGCCGAATTATTCAGCTACGAATTATCCATTTGGAACTATCTCATTCAAAATCTCAAACCATCGGTTACTTTCATCTCGCGGACCACAAGCAGGTAGTCGACACCTACCTACATGACTCTGTCCACTTGTCAGTGACTTCATGGATTTTGCCATGTTTTGCTGTGGCCGCCCCTAGCTTTATTTGAATCCATTCCTACACCACAAAACATAGCTCGATGGGGCAGTCGGTGGTTAGGCACACGCAACACACGTCCTAACCACCCCATCTCGACCGTAGCTGCTACCTTTAATGTGATCGTCGGGTTTGCCAATCGTGATGACCCAACCGAGCTATATTGGCTGAAACATATGTTCATGAAGGTTCTACCATGCCAGGCAGGTCGATTGGAGAACGATGAGACTAAAAGCAGCTACCCAAGGTCTGAGGGCGAAGTCGTACTACTGACTGCAGAGGGGTGTGACAGCAGTAAGGTATTTCCCTCGGACAACCAGCATCTGCGGCGATGCTGCCTTCTAACAAGGAAGGAAGGGTTAGAAAGGGTCGACCCTAAAAATGTCACACCTCACCCTACCTCACACATTTCCGTCTCCTTGGGTAAGGGTGCCCACTAAGGGCTTTCAAGTGCGGAGCTAACACTCAAAAAACTTCTCATGAAAAGGCCGTGCGTGACCGGCCTCAAGCAGTTGTCCCTTGGGCTCTGCGGTCACGCTCCCAGGTCTCCAAGACCAACATTAATCTATCTTCCTTTTCAGGTCCCTCAAGAAACAACCTTCCACGGTGTGGGCAGCCGGGAAGTGACAACCGCCCTCATACCCGTACCACCACACGAGACCAAATTGGTCAAAATCAAATCCTTCCTACACCCCCTAGTACCTCTCTTATCTCCGCGACTAACTCTTCTCAAATTCATTTATCACAGTGCTAATGCAGACGAAGCAAGTTCACGAAACGTCGTTCCTGGTCTCCTGAAACCCCGTTCCAGACTACATGTTGGAGCTTTTAATGTACGGACATTGTGTCAAATAGGGAAACAGGCTTCCTTAGCTAGGACTTTAGAATCTCGTGCCATCGATGTATGCTGTGTCTCGGAAACGCGCATACAGGATCCTAGTAAAGTCATTAACCTGATTTCACCTTGTCAAAACGAAGAAGCAGCCCGATTTACTCTTCGTGTATCCGGTAGCCCTGATGCTGCTTCCAGGGGTCTTGCTGGCGTAGGCATAGCATTGAGTGGTAGAGCTGAACAATCTCTCCTTGACTGGATCCCGGTAGATAGTCGTTTGTGCGCAGTCCGACTTAACGGGATAGTAAAGACTCGTAAAGATAAGGACACTCGCCGTTGCCTCTTCGTCGTATCTGCCTATGCCCCCACTGACTGCAGTTCAGACGGGGTTAGAGATGAGTTTTACAGAAAGCTTTCGGACCTCCTCCAAAAATCCAGGCGCTCTGATATAGTATTAGTGCCTGGTGACTTTAATGCTCAAGTACGTAGACTAAGTTTAAATGAAAGACACCTAGGTGGATGTTATGGTGTTGCGGCTCAGAGAACAGACAATGTTGACCGTCTGTTGCAAGTATGCTCATACAACCGCCTATTCTTAGCAAACACTAACTTCAGGCATAAGGAAAAGCATCTGTTGACCTGGCGAACTCCAAAGTCGTCTCAACGTTGGACGCAACTAGATCACATCGCCATCAGCCACCGATGGAGGGGTTCGATAGCCGACTGTCGCTCGTTCTCGGGCACATGTTTGGATTCAGATCATGCCCTAGTGCGAGCGCGTATTTGTTTGAAGCTTACTGGGTGTAGGAAAGACACCGTAAGGATGCCTCTTAGGGTTTTACTTAATGATAATAAGGCGAAGAATATATTTCAGGAGCAACTAGAAAGACAGTTAGGCGACCATTTAGGCGATTACCATCCGGTGGCAGGTCGGAAAGATATCAAGAAGGCTGTGGAAACAGCAGTGATATCTGCTAGTAAGGTAAACCATAAGGCTAGGATGAAGCCGTGGATCTCAATAGCATCTACCGAACTGATGGATGCTCGAAAACTCATCCCGCCTGGCTCTGAGGAGCGGAGTCAGCTTAGACGTAGGCTGACAAGAAGCCTACGCAATGATCGAGAACAGTGGTGGGTGGCGAAAGCAAAAGCGATGGAAAAGGCAGCGGCGATCGGCAACACTAGACAACTTTTCCGACTTATCAAGGAAACTGGTATTAGGAATCCTAGTGTAAGTGAGACTATATCGGAAAATGATGGGACTATTATTTATTCTCAATCCAGGAGACTGGATCGATGGGCAGAACACTTTTAGGATCAGTCCAACTGGCCTTCTGTCACACTTCGGTTGCCCACGATCCAAAGTCATGAATGGCATGTCGATTTAAGTCCTCCTAGTCTTCACGAAGTTGAGAAAGTTATAGGAAATCTGAAGCCAGGAAGGTCAGCAGGTCCTGATAGACTGACCTCTGAGATATTTAAGGATGGTGGTCCAGTTTTAGCAACTAGGTTGACCGAGATCTTAGGTAGAATCTAGGAACTGGACGTAATCCCATCCGACTGGTCTCAATCACTGATTGTCCCAATCTATAAGAAAGGAAAAAAGTCTTCTTGTGACAATCACAGGGGAATCAGTCTAACTAATATAGTATCTAAAATATAGGCCTCAGTAATACTTCGACGCTTAACGAAAGCTCGTGAAGAGCGAACTCGAGAAAACCAGTCTGGTTTTCGACCTAGACGTGGCTGTATAGACCACGTCTTCACACTACGACAGGTCCTGGAACACAGACACACATTTAGGCGTCCTACAATAGTTGTTTTCCTGGACCTTAAGGCGGCATTCGACTCAGTGGATCGTGAGGTTCTGTGGCAGTGTCTGTCATTGAAAGGTGTACCAAAGAAGTACATTAACCTCATACAAGCTCTTTACTCGAACACCACTGGTCGAGTGAGAGCTTATGGCGAACTGTCATCGGAATTCTCTACTTCAAGTGGTGTCCGTCAGAGATGTCCACTTTCTCCATTCTTGTTTAATTTTATCATAGACATGCTCCTAGACATAACATTATCCTCGTCTGAATTTTCAGGAGTAGACCTACCAGGTGGCTCGCTTATTGACTTAGAATATGCCGATGACATAGTCCTACTTGGTGAAGACGATGACAAAATGCAGTCTTCTGACTACCCTAAGCAACAATGCAAGCATGTTCGGGATGCGGTTTTCCCCCTCGAAATGCAAAATGTTGCTTCAATACTGGGTTGCATCGGCACCTGAACTAGTGATAGGGAGCGAAGTAGTCGAACGTGCAGACCGCTTCACTTATCTGGGGAGTCTCATCAGTGCTGATGGCCTGGTGACTGACGAAATCTCAGCTCGGATACAGAAGGCTCGATCGGCTTTTACCAACCTGCGTCACTTATGGCGTAGGCGTGATATCCGTTCTCTGACCAAAGGACAGGTGTACTACACAGCAGTTCGCTCCGTTCTCCTATATGGATGCCAAACATGGCCGTTAAGAGTAGATGTTCGTAGGTTACTAGTATTCGATCATAGATGTTTACGAAGCATTGCTCGTATACCGTGGTACTACCGAGTAAGCAATGCTGTCGTTAGGAAACGAGTACTAGGTAAGGATGGCAGATCAATCGATGAAGTGGTG